GAGCAGCTCCGACCGAAATTGAGCCCTGGGTGTGCAAGCTGCAACCACCCCCACCTTGAACGTTTTCAAACCACTGCTAAAACGCTCAACGGACCACCGCGAATGCGTAACACGTGGATGCAGAGGAATAGAGGTATACAATACACACGCACAATAAATACACTGCTGGATGTGGACCTCTCGACGCCGTGCGGGCCGTGCGAGTTGTTTGGCCTTGATTCGAGGTTGCTCGGTGCCTGGTTTGATGAAGGCGGGAGGAGCATCAACGGGGGGGGGGGCATATTATTGTACAATAACGGAATTGCTGCATTGCCCTGTTGTCAATAAGGGACCATCCATTGAGAAGGTACGCAAAAATCTGTCAACTTGACCCCCACCCCCCCTCCCTGTACGCACGCGTACTTTTTACACCCCCCCCTTACATGCGTACATACGCTTGACGCACCCCCCCCCGAATCCTATAGAACGGCCGATATTTAATCCATGCAGAAACGATCAAGGATTAATAATATTAACGCGTTTAAGCAGAGTCCACCGCCAGACTATCTAATTCATTTGAAGCCCAATGTAAACAAATTATCGAGGCTTCACCCCCCCACCCCATTTCCTATACGTACGTACATTGTCAGTAAACCCCCCCCCCCCCCCATACGCAAGCGTATGCATTTGGGTTAACCCCCCATCTCCCCTCCATGCGTACGCACTAAATGGATGGCCCCTAACGCAACCCCGCAGCAGCCTGTTTTAATGCGCCGTGGTCCCCCGTCGAAGCACTCCATCCGGGGTTCCACCTTGCTTGGCTTGCGAGATCTGACGGGATCGGGCGCTGCATTGCGGCCGATTTAGTAATAAGGGGGCTATTGAGGTGGCGGGGTTAAATGTTAACAGCAACAAAAACACCTTTATGCTGGGTGCTTTCTGTGCAAGTCCCGACGCCAGTTGCGCAATCGCCCCTTCCACGGAATTTACATGAAGGCAGCGGTGCTAAAATAGCACTACACTAAGAGCGACGCCAATTATCATGCTGTGTTCGCGGAGAATGGAAAGCGGAGGCGTTAATTTGTTGGCTTTTGTTTTCATCTGTTCAAAGAGACACGCATCGGAGAAAAAAATGGACATTGCATTTGCTTAAGCACTAAGTATGTTTTTTGGTGTTTTGGCGCAAAATCATATTTGGATGCAAATACGGATTGAATGATGCCTTGTTAAGCAGATTTGGACAGCGTCCAATCAACACATTACAATAAGGTAGAATGTCCGCACACACGCGTTTATATTGTTCGTATTGTAAAGACACTATAAAGAGAATACAATTCGAAAAGACAAGTATGAACGTGTGTATTATTGAGCTGCAGATGTGCTTATAATGTAATCTAATTTGGACATCTTATAGGCACACTGGGGCATGAAAGGACCTAGACACTTAACATTGCAGAAGCCCAAGGACTAAAGTCACTGTTGAAATGTTCAAGGTCACGGTGAGATTATACAGCGTTACTGCCAACTCAACAGTCCATTGGGATCAACTACAAGGCGACTTTTAAATTGCCTCGTGTTAATACACACCGAGCAAATATATTTTCCAAACTGAATTTACTTTGCCAAGCTATTGATCTGCAAATTGCTTCGAAGGTATTTCCCATTACCGATTGTATCCTATGTATTGGTCAGAACTCATTCCTGTGACCAACGAGTCTCTTAACGGTAAGAGATAAATGCAAAACTGCATACACATACAGTAGAGGCGATTACATTAACATTGTAAACCATGTGCTGTTTGTTCGTTTAAAAAAAAACAATGTCATTTCCTTACGAGAATAAAACGTATCTGCACATTTTTTTATCTTGCAATTTGTTTCGATATTGCATTGGGGAAAAAACCCCTACTCACCAATGGAGTCTTCAACAGCTGGGTTCATTCAACTGAAAGCTTTCAATTGAAAGTATAATAAAGGGAATCGTGTACATTTAGACTGTAAAATGCATTCCTAGGCAAATGGCAATCCAGAGGATGGAACTTGCGGCTGAATATAATGCTGCACAGTCAGTGCAGATTGATCAATGTAGTGTTCATATTCTTGCTTCTTTCGGTAAAGTCACGTAGAAGGGAAACAATAAAATAAAAATATGAAACAATAAAATTCTCACGACGTTTCGACTGCAACACAAGCAATCATCATCAGGTGTGAAAACCACAGCAAGAAAATTTGAAAAAAAATGGCGGTTTCTTTTTAACGTAAGCACCACGGAGAGCGATTTGGCAGTTATTCAGATGGACGAGTCCATCTATGTTCGGAAAAGAGGGGGAGACGAAAATAATGGATGCGGTCTGAATGCCACCATAAGCGTGAACAATCAATTAAGACCCGAAATGGTTTATCAAATCCTTCCAATGATTGCTAAGCCAGAATCAATTTTCTCGGTTGAAATTGTCTCTGTTTGTATATGCGGATAGCCTCACGAACAAATCTCTCATGGTAGCCAGATGGCTTGCAGAGAACCTCTGTCTTGGAGACGTCAATGTCATGTGAGCCCACTGAATTATAACAGTGATCTGCCACGGCCGAGGTGTTGGTCCTACCGTGTTTTAGGTCTGCTTTGTGTTCACGAATGCGGTCCGAGACATGTCGTTTGGTTTCTCCAATGTAACTACTACCACGGAGTTTGTAGACGCCAGGGTACTGTATGGCCGGAATCACATATTTTACAGACGGAACAAGATCACGAATTTTACGTAATGTGTTGAATCGGACTTGGATCTTGTGTTTATTCAAGATTTTGGAGATATTTTTTTGTGATCCCTGCAATGTAGGGTAAAGTGATGGTTTTGAAAGGCTCCTCAAGAGGGTCCTTCTTCATGGTTGGAGTGATAGCTTTGCGGATTGTGTAGTCGGAGTAACCATTAGCTTTAAGAGCTTGGTGTATATGCTTGAGTTCACTGGCTATGTGTTCCTGGTCGGATATGCATTGTGCTCTATGGTGCAGTCTTGATGAGGGAATTCTTCTGGGATGGTGGTGGGAATCCGGTTTCAGGTAAGCATCCGTATGGGTAGCTTTCCTGTAGACAGAGTGGCTCATTTAACTATCAGGTCTCTTTTTTTATTAGGACACCCGTGATTGTCGATACCAGGTGAGTAGAATTTTGTACCGCAGAAGTGGTTTTTCCAGTGAAAGGCCACAGGATTTCAGACAGAAAACGAGCCAGTTTGTAGGTGAGGGTGTTGATAGTAGAGACGATGGGACGAAGGGGTGTATCTAATTAATGTATTTTTGGTAAGTCGTATAATCTTGGTGGCCTGGCAGCAGACGGTTTCAACGATAACTGTTTGATTTGATCAATTAATGCGGTTGAATCAGAAATGATTTTGTTGGTTTGTATGACGAGGCTGTTCGTGGGATCTTTTTATTTTTGTATAGCTGCCATCGTTGAGTAATTCTTTAATTTTGTTATATTCTATTTTATCCATGACAGTGGCATTGCCCTTGTCGGCAGAGAGGATGACAATATCATACCTCTTTTTAATTTATATAATTCAAAACGCTCATCATTGAAGACTTGGTTCATTAAGGACTAAACACTGAGGTACCCCCCCTGGTGAGACACTGCTTAAACAATACATACTTCACTTGGAATGGAACTTTCTACAAACTGAGGGCACCCCAATGGGCCCTCAGTTGTAGCCAACATTTTCGTAGAGAAATTTGAGACTGACGCCATCCAGACTGCCACTCTGCGCCCAACCTTATGGAAGAGGTACGTGGATGACACTTTTGTCATCTGGCCACATGGCCTGCCTGCTCTAGACACATTCCTCGACCACATCATTGCATACACCCAGCCATCAGATTTACCATGGAAGTCGAAAAAGATGGCAATACTACCTTTTTTGGATGTCCTAATAAAAAAGAGACCTGATGGTTCAATGAGCCACTGTCTACAGGAAAGCTACCCATACGGATGCTTACCTGAAACCGGATTCCCACCACCATCCATCACAGAAGAATTCCCTCATCAAGACTCTGCACCATAGAGCCCAATGCATATTCGACCAGGAACACATAGCCAGTGAACTCAAGCACGTACACCAAGCTCTTAAGGCTAATGGTTACTCCGACTACACAATCCACAAAGCTATCACTCCAACCATGAAGAAGGACCCTCTTGAGGAGCCTTTCAAAACCATCACTCTACCCTACATTGCGGGGATCACAAATAAGATCTCCAAAATCTTGAATAAACACAAGATCCAGGTCCGATTCAACACATTACATAAAATCTGTGATTTGGTTCCATCTGTAAAAGATGTGATTCCGGACATATAGTACCCTGGCGTCTACAAACTAAGTTGCCTCTGTGGTAGTAGTTACATTGGAGAAACCAAACAACATGTCTCGGACCGCATTCGTGAACACAAAACAGACCTAAAACACGGTAGGACCAACACCTCGGCCGTGGCAGATCACTGTTAAAATTCAGTAGGCTCACATGACATTGACTTCTCCAAGACAGAGGTTATTTGCAAGCCATCTGGCTACCATGAGAGATTCGTTCATGAGGCTATCCACATATACAGAGACAATTTCAACCAAGAAGATGGATTCTGGCTTAGCAATCATTGGAAGGATTTGATAAACCATTTCGGGTCTTGATTGTTCACGCTTACGGTGGCTTTCAGACCGCATCCATTATTTTCATCTCCCCCCTCCTCTTTTCCGAACATAGATGGACTCGTCCATCTGAATAACTGCCAAATCGCTCTCCGTGGTGCTAACGTTAAAAAAACGCCATTATTTTCAAATTTTCTTGCTGTGCTTTTCACACCTGATGATTGCTTGTGTTGCAGTCGAAACGTCGTGAGAATTTTTACTTTTTTATTTTATTGTTTCCTTTCTACGTGACTTTACCAATAGAACCAATAATATGAATCCCTGCAGTCACGACAGCTTTAAATCAAAATCTAGTGTTCTTTCGCGCACAAAAACTCATGCAAGCATATCAGTCCAATTACGTTTTTTTATAATTCATTTGAAACACAAACAGGCCTTGGGGCAAATTCATCAAAAAAGCAAACACTTAACAAAGGTATGTGTGGAGCGTTGCAGCAATGTTTATTGCACTACTCTAACGTAGCATCCCATCCCTTTTCACAGTGAATAAGTGTTAACAAAAGTCCTGGACCCCCTTTACATCAATATACACTGACCAGCGTTGGGGAAGTATGGGTAAACCCCCAATAACCGAAAAGGTCTCGGAAGGTATTCATCCAGTAGTGGATTGAAAAAGGACTGTAATTTAGCATTAACATTACACACAAGGTGCTTGCAACAAACGAACCACAATACCTTTGTGATCCCCTCAAAGAGCATGAACCATCACGTGACCTACAGTCATCCTGGCATTGGCTATCGAACAAAGACGGTAACTGCATCACGCGCTTTCAGATGCTCATCTGTGACCGTCTGGAATGCTCTTCCTTCTGATATTAGGAAGCTGCTTTTAAATCGATTGCAAGCTCATTTCCTTAGAAGGCCTTTTTGTGTTTAGTTTGTTGACCTCCCCCCACACCTCCGAATAATACGGTTGGCTATGTACGGTGCGAAAGAAATTCGGCACGTAAATAAATCGATATATCACGCCTCAAATAAGCATGCCGAGATAATAAGTGCATCCAAATGCGGATGTGATGTGGCCACCGAGTGATTTGTTCACTTGCATCGAAAGGGCACAATTGTGCAATGGTCAAGTCAACTCTACATTCCACCAACCCAGAAAACAATGCAAGCAGAATGTGTTTTGGCTACGCTATTAAATATATCAAATGGAACTGTGGAGTTCTTTAACACGCATGTAGCAATATATATCATCATGATGCACGACGGTGTGTAAATGCAACAATCCCATTCAGGTCTGAATATGTAGTTCGCATTTGTAAACATACTTTCATAAGAAATTATTTAAAGCCTAAGGCAGCTAAGGTGAAAAAGAATGAGACTTCTAAAACACTGACATTTCCTGTTGTCTTCGTTTTTGTTACAAGGTTTCTAAACCCACAATTTTACTTGTCAAGGTAAAAAAAAACACCCATAACACATTGACAAAGTTTCATCCATTTTTGTTTTAAATTCCAACCACTTTGCATAATGCTGACAGTACAAAACAGATGTTGTGTAATTCAATGTCGAAAACACCGATACGTATGCACTTATGGAGCTTTCAGCGTGGGTGACGACATATCATATCGTGGTGGGTTGTCAGCCCTTGGATACATAACAAAGAGCGCCAGCTGTGCCACTCCCAGCATCGACCCCAGCACATTTGGAATCTGTATTGGAGAAGAAAATACAAAATAAAACGCTGTTTTGTTGTTCTCTCCGTAGCCTGTTATTAGAGCATTCAGACATGTGGCGTTCGTAGCCACACATTAATAATTAAGGATACCACATAGTAGTTAAATGTCGTTGTCTAGTTTTATTGTAATTATACAGTAATGTTTAAATATATTTTTGCATTGTCTTTCTCATTGTTAACATAATCGTGGTTGAAGCCGAAGAAAAACAATCCTTTGCATAACTGTAAATTGGTCGAATATCTCAAAACTCCATTTCACGGCTGATGTCAATTCTGGGGAGGATGCCCCTGATGGGAATGCCTCTTATGCTCATGCAGGGCACACTTATTCCGTAAAAAGCGATACATTACTTCTGGTACACCAGCCGAGAGGCAGATAAGCAGTGATGTTTCAGAATTACATGCCCAAGTGGATATTTCATCACTCTTTTACATTTTATCTGCAGTATATTGCACATACAGTAACACTTTTCTGTGACACCAATAATTTATCAATTTACTATTTATTAATTAGGACATGCCATCAATGTCTTTGTGTACAATAGCCTAGAAGCAATTAGGAACAAAAAGGGATACCCTGAAATGAATAGAATTGTCATATTTTTGTTTATTTTACAATGTTATGCTTTGCAACTTTGCATTAATCTGCCATCAAATAAATTATTTTATCAAACCTTGACCTCAAAGCCTGATTACAAAGGGCCCGCATGGCCACTGTCATGCATATGGAGTACTATGTAATGTAAAACCATTTTTAGATCGTTTTGCAATGGCCACAATACAGCCATGGACAGATAACATAGGTGAATCTGATAGTATTGGACTGGACCACTACAAATGTTATGTGATCTCATTTGCAATATAACAATGGATAGAATAATTAAGGTATGGCACTTGTAACATAACCTGTGCAAAATTATAATGCATAATGTAATGACCCTCCTGCTTAACTCACTATTTGACCATTATTGCTGCATATTTTTGAAAGAGGAAAACAATGGCTCCATTGTGAAATTGCCACGTTGTGATTTAGTCCAATTTAAAAAAGGTTGAAAGCATTCAGAATAAATATACACACAACTGTCTCCAAGGTAAACCCCTCATTATCCAATGTCATGCGAATTTCTGTTACATGCCAGCAGAACATAAAACAGTAGGGGTCCCCGTTGCCATGGGGGGCATCCAAATGAGGTGAAGGGGTGAATTAATAGGCAGTTATCTCACCAATATTTCATTTGTGCACAGAGTATTCTCTGAAGCAATAATACAAGCAATAATACATGGCTTGATCCACTGACATTGGTTGCTGCTGGAGGCTCACAAAGTTCTAGGACAGTTCTCGTCCTCTATACATAATCTTGATAGATATTATCATGCAATGAAATCTAAATGGGCATATTTTATCATTCACTGCAAAATGCCTCAATAAAGAATGGTCTATGTGGAATTCTACCAACACAGACATCAATCTGCACAAAGGTCCCACACACTGCTGCATTAAATTGTCATAAATATCAATACTGACAAACTGTGACCACCAGCACTTCAGCTTTCATTGATGTGTATACGAATGCCACTTGTGCATTATAGATGCATTAAGACACACTTTTAATAATTAAGCATAAACATTCTAAAGATGACCGATGTAGTTTCACTTACAGGCAGCTAAAACTGTATATTTAGAAATGTATTAATTGTATTTATATCAATATTTAATAAGCCATATCACCTAAGAGGCAAAAACAAACATTAAATATGCATAAATGGGAATGTACAAACTTTACAATGTATACTGTTAAATTATTACCTGAATAAATGCTTCACCTTGTGAAACATTTTCAAATAGAGAAGCAGTTTTATCTGCAACGTAGAATCTATTTCACTTATCAAGAATCTGCATGACAGCCAAATCAGGGTATTTTTTGTGTACTTCAAACCAAATTAACAGGGAAATTGCGGAAAAACGTATATTGACTTCAGAATGTAACTATTTATTATTACGCCTAGAACACAATGGTACTGCTGCATTCCATATGTGACGATAACCAGCTAAAATACAATTTTAAATTATATTCTTCAATGTGATTTTCTAATTTCTCCCTAGATATTCACTGTATTCATCTAGACCAAGGTAGGTTCGTATGATTTTTTAAAGTCTAATTCTTCACTTTCGTTAAGATAAAAAAATGTAATGTTCCTGATCAAATGTACATACCCATATATAAGCCAATTTTACAAAACCGTTTTAAATACATTTACACCAACTTTACATTAAACTATGGTATTGTGACCTATATTATTAAACAAGAATAACAAGCTGCTGAATTTTTATTCTGCTATAATTCAGCACCACGTTGATATTTAAGAAATCACTTACCAGCATGCATATTATACATTTTTCCTTAAACCTCCTACACTAAGTAACCCTCTATCCAGCAGTGAATTGACAGGGTTTCTAAAAATCGTAATTATTTTGCAAAAACAAACCTTAACGAAGCTATCATGAATGATGACTCCATATATGAACCACTCCAGAGCCACGACAAAATTAGCGAGGCACAAAGGGAGAGCCAGACACTCCGTGCTCTTGGTCCGAAACACTTCAGCCTGCGGCACACACAGCCCTATTTTTGTATCAACACAAACGGCACACGTTTTATTCCCGCATTCGCTATTCAGAAGCTAAATGTCCATTACTGTGTAGAACACCATCCATGTCTTATTTTTCTTGGTGACACTTGCCAGCCAATTTCTACATTGGCAGCCTCCCCAAAAATAAATCTACACAAACTTGTCCACTTGTAATTATAAACATGACATTAACATTACACCCTTAATGGTGCCAATGAAAAAAAAAGTTGTGAAATGTTGTCCTGTTCAGACTATGGCCTTATTAAATGTGAAATTGATCAAATTGTATTGGGCCCATGTGGATCATACATCAGTTTAGAGGAAAGAAACACGTATGCCTGCCAACAGTTAACTTTCCAAAAACCATGCTGGTTCACATCAGTGTAGTTATGGCACTGAGCATGCTAATAGGCAGATGTGTTTTGGATGGTATTTTATGGCTTAGAAAATAAATGGTTTTCATTTTAAGTACTTCCATGTCAACAGCCATGATGTTTATGTGGAATGACTGCCACCTAGTGATTATTCCAACAAAGTCCAACACCCTACACAAGCCAGATTATTTTGAGCAAAATGTAATCAAAACCAGACCACAATCTACATTTCCTATATTTACCGTTTTTAAAATCTTATTTTTATTCATACAGCGTCTTATTCCTGGCCAAACACTAAAGCAAGTTATGAAAGTGTTTTATTTCAAACATATTCACACCACAGCAACACATTGCAAATTAAGCATACGAAACTATGTTTGTTGAACCAATGTTATCACATTTTAAAATTCTGAAAACTGTGTAGATTTCAACAGCTGTAATGTGTTTGCTGACTTACAATGGAAGCAAGGGGCGCGCCAAAATTTATAACTGCACCGAAAGTGCAGAGCAGACCCAGGTGATACTTTGCAGTTTCCACATCTTCCGCCAAGTAGTTTATGTAAACAAGCGTCGCGAAAACGATGCACGTGGCCCCTAACAACATCCTGTGAAGTGGTTTCTAGCAACACAGGTATGCCGAATTAAAAAAACTCGACACGTCACGTTCATGAATGCACAACAACACGCAACAACAAATGGTGTTTGTAACGGTTAAATGTAAAAAAAGTGCATACGATACTGTGCCATACCTTTTCGTCAGCGTGAGTATAGAAGTAAAGGACGTACAGGAACTCTATAAAAGCCCCAGCAGCATTGACGTATATTAATGTCATGTCAGTCTTCAGTAATCCATACCTCAACCACAGCACTGAACTGAATGACAATGAGTGCATGATGTATTATTGTGAATCACCAAACATTTGGAATAAAACATTTGCAACAATGTTTTGGTTATGACGTCGAATTGAAAAAAAATTCATCTGAAAGTCATCAAGGCATCAAATGCGGCTTACCAGACAGTGCATGCGACAAAAGGAAACATTGATAATCCATTAGTGTTCCCCTTCCTTTTAATTTTCAAACAAATATCACTGCGGGGCAGACAAAAAACAAGATTTGCTTGAACTGTAAAAATGTTGTTAAACAATCTTTTTTTTACCAATTATATATTTAAAGTGTAACACGTAGGCTCTCGCGACCAATATCATTCATAATACAGGTTTTATTTTTGGGTTAGATCGTGTAAACTAATGTGTCGTTAAACCCACCACCACCCGACACAGCCAATTCGTAAGGTTTGTCACGAAAATAGAACATGCCAATCTGTTTACGTGACAAACCTTACGAATCGGCTGTGTCGGGTGGTGGCAGGTTTAACGACGCATTTATATATTTACGCGACTTAACCCAAAAAAACCTCTGTTATGGATGATATATTTTTTAAACAATGCAAACGACGATGCGAACAGTGTTGCAGCCATACAAATGACAAAGCTTTTAGTTTTTTTTGTAAAATACGTGTTGTGAATGAATGACTTACATTCCGGTGAGAAAAAATGCGATGGTACTAAAGGTGGCCACGGCTGACACAATGTCTTGTGTAGAATATGAAGATAATATCATGACTGTTTATGTTTAAAAAAAAAAGTATTCACTTATGTGCTTCTCGTCAATAATGTATATATTACACAAATGTGCCAAGCTCCAAGGGCAAAATGCAGGCTAACATAAAAGAGGATTTTTGAAAAATCCACACGTGATGAAGTCTTCCACACACCACTCGAGGTCATGGGGGCACATGTTCCCATTCAGTCTCTGTTCGTTTTCACAAATGTAGATGATGAATTCCACTTCAGTCTTAAGCATCCGTCTAAAGAGCTTTAAATTCGTAAAAAAATATTCTGAGCCAAAATTGACCTCAAATCTGTACCATCTCCGGATTGTTACCTTGCTGGCTGCATGCAGCTATGTTCAGCAAGCTAAATCTCAACAACAGGATATAGCTTCACCCATATCTTATTTGAAACGCAGCAGATCAGACCGTCAAGTTGTACAAGTGCCTGGCTGAGTTGTATATTTTTTGAGGATTTAAGGCAAGTGGTTCGTTCGGCAAGCGTCACGCACGCTAAGCCCATGGGATATGAATTAGTTGCGGCAAAGTGTTTGCCTGCCTGCACTCCTCTATCAAGCTTCCTTGGATGGTGTACGTAAACATAAAGTCATTGATCACGGACGTAAACTTGAAGTACAGTAGTTGATCTGTAAGAAGAGGGAGGGGGGGATGGTGGAAATTATGACAGCGTTTGAAAAGTTAAAAACGTTTGCAAAAAGGCTTTTTTATAATCACGCCTGAATAACCTAAATAAACGTGGCTATTTGCGCGGTATTTACAAGTTCAACCGCGGATAAAACTAATCTCTTAATCTGCACCACTGTCGGTCAACAGTACATCTTAGTATTGATGCATACCCCCGACAACTCCAGGGCCTGAAAAGCTTGGTCTCCATAGGATCTCCTCACTCATGTATTCACTTCTTATTTTGGTTAAAGTGAATGAGTGATATACTACGAGACATCGTAAATGTTCACAATAATCAGTGCATTTTGGAAAATTTCCTTGCTCGTTGTATTTGTTTAAACGTCTGATTTACTGACATTTACGAAATAGCAATTACATTTTCAAACAAATAGCCATAATACCAATACAACTTTCTTGTCCTGCATCACAACTTAAAAGATATATTATTGGTTCTTTCGGTAAAGTCACGTAGAAGGGAAACAATAAAATAACAAAAATATAAAACAATAAAATTCTCAACGACGTTTCGACTGCAACACAAGCAATCATCATCAGGTGTGGTGTAAAACAATAAAATTCTCAACGACGTTTCGACTGCAACACAAGCAATCATCGTCAGGTGTGAAAACCACATCAGGTGTGAAAACCACACCTGATGATGATGATTGCTGCTTGTGTTGCAGTCGAAACGTCGTTGAGAATTTTATTGTTTTATATTTTTATTATTTTATTGTGTCCCTTCTACGTGGTGACTTTACCGAAAGAACCAAGAATATGAATCCCTGCAGTCACGAAAGCTTTAAATCAAAATTTAACTTAAAAGATTCGATGGTATAAAACAGTTGATACCTACGGGGGCCATGTGATCGTGATAATGACGATTCCGAAAACGACTACAGCGGTTCACTTCAATTATAATCACTGCAGCATTGTCAGCTGGATTCACAATTACATTGCCATTGCAATTCATTAAGATAGAAGGCAGTTACAATTGTGATTGACCCTAGGTTGTGGCAGCTATGCACCTGGGTCGTGAGCCCCGGGCTTGCGAGACACTGAGCGTCCTTGATTAAATTAGAATTTAAATTACGAACATTGTACAATATATACACAAGCGTTCTCTCTGGCGTGTGTGGGGGGGGTCATTACATCGTCTCGATGTTAATAGCGTGCTCTTTAAATACTATACGGGTACAGTATATCATAGCAGGTGACCCGAGTGTGATTCCCTGTCAAGGGGACATCAGCGGCGAGCTACATCTGAATCTATTGTAACCCATACATACATAACCACCCTTATCCCTCTTTGGTTCTTTCGGTAAAGCCACGTAGAAAAAATATAGAATACGACGTTTCGATTGCAACACAAGCAACCGTCTTCAGGTATGAATGAATGAGTGAGAAAAACAAACACCCTTATCCCTTCACACCTACCCCGATCGCAGTCGGTGGTCACCTGAAACCACATCAGCGCATAGCCGCACTGACCAGCGTCAAATATCTTTACAAAAAAATAACAACCCAACAAACTCACCCAGCTTGGGAGGACGACATAATCCGGCAATGTCTCTACAAATGTCTGTAAATTGGTTTGTTTTCAATTCGAAATTTGGTGACATCGCTATTTGTAACTTTAGACGCCACTTACATCGCGAACGGGAAAGCCACCAAAACTCGTGTTAAGGCCGGGCACTTTGCCTTCTTTCGTATACAGTAATTTATTGATTAATCAAAAGTCTCCCGGCTGTGCGAGAGAGTTTGCGGACGGTGGAAAGTTCTACAGCAGCGGGGATTCGGCGGGCGCACGGACCACGGCGACTCACTGCGGCGCATCGAGGGCTCTCGACGACGCAGCGGGGACAACGCGAAAGGACGGAGAGCGGCGGGTGGTTGGATGGTAGGGGGAGGGGAGTGGTGGTGGTGGTGTTGTTGGCGGAGAGTTCCCGCAAGAGACTTCACCGCGAGACAAGAGACTTCACCGCGACAAGAGACTTCACCGCGACCCGGCCGCCACTGACGCGAGTTGCCCGCCTGGCCGCGTCTCCTCCCACCGCGCCACGTGCTCGGCTACGCCACGCGGGCAGGGGAGCTGAAGGAGGAGCCCCTCTCACTCTCTCGTCTCCCCTCGGTGCCGCCACATTACGTAGGGGAGAGGGGGTTACCAAGAGACCGTATGGGGGGCTAAACGGGCACGACGAGGACTGCAGAAGAAGAAGGAAACGGGTGACTGACTGACGCGGTACGGGAGGGACGTGGAGCAGCTGAGTGGGCTTGCCCGAGGACCGGCACCAGCGCGATGTCTCAATGTGGAGGAGACTCGCGATGAAGCGCTCCTGCGTGTAGTTGGGAGGCAGTCGCCATCCAACGACGCGGGAGAGGGACAGGGGAGGGATGCTCACAACAACGAGCGGAGCGACGGGCGGTTAAAATGCACAAAGCGGGGAGGGGCACACCTGGTGCATCTGCCATCCACCTCAGTCAACCCATGGGCACCCGGGTCTGTCCCGTGACCTCCTTCACATGGCCTCGAAGTGCACCTAGCCTGGCACAGAGACGCCGTCGTGATGTCGCCGCGACGGCGGCTGCCGTTGTTGGGGAATTATCCCCTCACCCAAGATGGCGGCCGTTGCGGCACGCACGTGTGATGACGTCACGCGGCGAAGGTCGGTCACGTGACGCGGAGTCGCGTTGGTCCAATCGTGACGGCGCCTCTCGCTCGGCCACGTGGCGGTTGTCACGGAGCATTTGGATCCGTTATGATTTTGAACGACATCGAGCACCGAGTCCAGCACTGATCAAGCAGCGTTCGAGCTGTTACATTTTTAGTATTGTTAGTTAATGTGATCGAGCATCAAGCTGTGATATTTTGAATACGGATTTTTTTAATCGTTAAAAGTGATTCCTGTCACGTGATTTCGGGATCTAAAGATCGAAAGAGATTGTAGGTTGAAAAAGCCCATATGAGGTCGCCCCTTGACACTGATTGGCTTTCTTCTGCATGAACATAATTTATCATTACGTCGCGGATTCATTCTATTATGTTCAGCGCACGTGGTGAAAACTACTTGACGTTTGTGGAAAAGAGCTTTATAGCTCATCGGATTCGTCCAGTATAAATATTCTGAAGCGGGTTGACCGCGTATGGTTAGAACTCATGTATATACAAGTAGGGCCATTTCCCAAAACGTTGCTTTTATTTCGTTTTCAGACACTGTTATTGACAAACTTGTTGCGTTTTTGGTTGCGTGTGCCAGTGCACGCACCACTGTCAACGCACAATGTCACAGAATTGTGTAAAAAGAGTTGCTTATTCAAGGGTAGGCTTGGGGTTAAATAAATGTGGAACAACAAATGGCGTAGACGAACATAGAGACGAATAATCAGCTGTGACCTCTCTACTACAGTACTTGAATGAAGGCGTCCCAAAAGCATTTCATCTTCTAGAGCACCTCCAGAGTTTTAGTTTATTTATTTTGGTATAGCCCTGTGAGCCATTCGGATCTTGAATCGGGTGCAACCACAACAAACAAAAACACGAACAAGAAAACATCTTAAAGTGACTATGTGACTGCAAACAAAATCCATGAAAAAAAACAGCAAAATATTCCTGAAAAAAAGCACCGCACACCAACGCTGTGTGCAAAAAATTCTAGTGGGATGCAAGTCAACAACCACAAGAAAACTTAGATTAAGGCCATCAGTCTAACTCCTTACTACAACAAAACAAACATCTCCAAACAAAAAACTTTTCGAAATCATCAAATAATAAAGCCATAATTTCAACGTAACAGTGATCACAGGGACTGTGACCAAATTTTTACAATAAACTACATAAATAACATGTAACACCTAATCCTAGAGCCATAGCTGGCTGCATGAATTACTCCACAACAACAGAAGCATCAGTCGGAGTATCAAATTTTTCAATAAACCTTTAAGATCAGCACGCTAAATCAAAATACAGATAATACTTTGCAGCATCATCCGGAGGGAAAATGTTATTTTATTTTACGCCAATGAATAGCAGTGGCAACTAGGGGTGTACAACTCCTCTAGAGCAGTTTTGAGAGAAGATCTCATTGGTAGCGATTAAAGTTGCAGTTTATTGGCAATAGCATTCCAGACACTCGGGGCATCAATAGCAAAGGACCTTCCTCCAGTTTTTGTACGACAATAGGGAATGTGAAGCTGGTAAATGAGCGAAAACCTGAGGGCAAATTTGTTTGAAACAGAGAGGAGATCCAGCAGGTAGTCTGCGGATTTTTTTGTAAGTAAATCGTGAATAAATAAGATCTGGTGCACAAGCCGTCGAGCATTAAGAGATGTTAAGTTTGACCCGATGTAGAGTTCACAGTGGTGAGTCCTATATGGGCAGTTCAATGTAAATCTTAAGGCCGAGTGAAAGATGGAATCAAGCTTCTTCAGTACAGTACTTGGGGCTGATTTATACACGATGTCACAGTAGTCAAGTAGAGGCAGTATGGTAGCTTTTATCACTTCCAAACAGAACATTGGGGGGAAGCAGTGCTTGTGTCGATACAGAAAACCAATTTTTATTTTTGTCTTTTTACCAATATAATCAATGTGATCTTCAAAATTCAGTTATGAATCCAGGATGACCCCAAAATACTTTTAGATCTTGACTTGCTCTATTTGATAATTATTTAAGGAATGTAATTGGGGAAAATAACTTCCTGCTTTAGTCCTGGTGAGAAGCATAGCACCTTGGTTTTGGAGGTATTCAGGACTATTTTAAGAGCAACTAGCTGATGTTGTAGTTTGTTGAAATCACCCTGTAGCTTAGCAATCACGTCATCTGGAGAGCGGCCAGCAGTAATCAGTATCGTGTCATCTGCAAAAAGATTTACCCTGGAATGATCCAGGTCAGTGCCCAAGTCATTGAGAGAGAACAAAAGGGGGCTGAGGATGGAACCCTGTCGAACCGCTTTTTTTATCTTAACACTGTTTGACCTCCAACCATCTGTGAATACAGTTTGGGTGCGAGAAAAGAGGTAATTTTGTAACCATTTTACTGCGTTTTCGGAAAAACCGAGGCAACTTAGTTTACTAAGCAGGGTGTCGTGGTCTACTGTATTAAAAGCTTTGAACAGGTCTAGAAAAAAACAGGCACAGTACTGCTTATTATCAAGGCTACTGTAAATGTGATTCAGAGAGTCTAATGCAGCAGATGTGGTGCTGTATTTTTTTCGGAACCCAGATTGTTTTAGATGTAGTAGATTGTTGGTGGACAGGAAACTGCTAATTTGGTAGGTCAATATTTTTTCAAACATTTTCATCAATGGGGACAAAATTGAGATAGGTCGGTAGTTATTTGGATCATCTTTAGGGCTCCCTTTGTGAAGTGGACGGACATATGAATGTTTCCATTCTAGAGGAACTGATGCTTCTTTGATGGACAGGTTGAAAATATGGGCTATAGGTTTGTATATTAGGTGACCAAAAGTTAGTAGAGGAGGACCCGGCAGGTTTAGCCAATTCCAATTTAGATCACTCACTAAAACTATTTCAACTTTAGGGAGGCCCCCAAAAAGCTCTCTCAGTGCAGATGCAGCTTCAACATCCTTCCCACTAGGCGGTCGATAGCAGCACACTACCAATATCTGTTGATTATTTGGGAGAGTTATTTTGAGAGCCAGACCTTCAAAGCAACATTTTTAAACAAGGAGTGAGCTAGTGAACATGCAATAGTATTACGAACATAGATGGCAATTCCACCTCCTTTAGATCCTTGGTCAAGCCGAAAAAGGTTGTAGTTGAAGTCGTTGCTACGCGGTGAACATCCACTCGGCATGTTTTCCTTTGGCTGCCACTCTGTCGTAATTCTAGTCCCTGGTCATCGTCCTATTTAGCCAAGTGTTTGTGCCTAAGTTCACAAAAAATCATCTCGTCAGCCGTGCAGCTGAAGGTTGATTAAAAGTATTTTCCTTCATTAACGACGGCGCATAATGCGCGTTGGACAACGCGAGACAGCCTGGTGTGTTTTGGGTTTCGTGTGGGAATGCAGTACTGTGGTAGATGTTTAAATTAGGTTTAAACGAGAATCTAACCCGTTAATCGTTTTCAGAACCGATGTTTGGAGTGTTTTTTAAAGAATATAACCAGCATATTATGAGACCTCCTTTGCCAGAAACAAGATATAGGAATAGGTTTTACCCGTTTAACTGGCACAAAAACTGACACCTTTATTCAAGGCATCATGTTTGCAATAACCACAACACAAGCAGTCAAAATGCAAACGAAAAAGACAACCCTGATAATATGCACCGTCCTTGAATTTGATTGGTCCACACCCGAGACAGCCTCTCCCAGAGCCCAGTCTCCACTGGTGTTAGACCAGAAGACGCCAAAAGGCGTCAAAAGGCGTCTTCTGGTCTAACACCAGTGGAGACTGGGCTCTGGGAGAGGCTGTCTCGGGTGTGGACCAATCAAATTCAAGGACGGTGCATATTATTATCAGAGTTGTCTTTTTCGTTTGCATTTTGACTGCTTGTGTTGTGGTTATTGCAAACATGATGCCTTGAATAAAGGTGTCAGTTTTTGTGCCAGTTAAAAGGGTAAAACCTATTCCTATAACCAGCATAATTAACGATTCGGAATCTATTCCAGTGGAATGTTGGTAATGAATGGTAGGTACGCCCAAAAGTACAAACGGCACGGTGGTTTAAGTCACGGCGTGAGCAGTGAAACCCTGCATTGACGCCACGGCTTCCGCTGGAGAGAGCTCTAGAGCATATTTGGTCAAATTTTCCACGCTGAGCAGACATTGTTGTGAAGAGGTGGGAGTACCCACAAACCGACCACACACACACGACCTGCCAAGAGATTATTTCTGCAATGTAAACATGCGTATTGCTGGTAAAAGGAGGGTGGTATTCAAGAAATGTGCCCATTGCTTCCACTGCTACGGCGGCTTCTGGATTGTGAGTCCAGTGTGGTAACCACTTGCTTCTCAGTTAAAACAAATTTGTCCATTGCTCAACCTGGCGATGCGTGCGGCAAACCGGCTACCGATAATACAAAACAAAAATGTGTAATGCGCCTGGTGCAAATACAGCGCTGCTACTGTTTGCGTGATTATCATTTGCCAGCAGAGACGTTGCGAGGATACGGCAAATCGTGGCAACCGCCGCTGGCCCTGCGTTTTCGGGGTTGTGGAGTGCGCTTCGACGTCACAGTATCAGATGTAATACTTCCGGTTTAGTTTAAAGGCGTGTCGGGGGGCACAGTAGGATTTGCTCTGGGCCCCGCACCTCCTGATAGATGGACCTGTTTACCGGTTCACTGAACTCTATCCCCATCTTAGATACAGAAATACTAAATATCGTGATTCATAATCGATTTTTAGATGGGCAACGTAAATTTGGTATTGGTCTAAATTTTCACTTCCTCGAAAAGCACATTTGTATTGGAGACTATGACTGAAAAAAATAAGATCTATTAAACGAAACGAACTTCTGTTTCAAAAGCAGGGATCGAAGAAACAGGCAACTGAACCGGATCTAAAAACAACATTGGTCAGTTTGCATTGATTTTATTGCGATGCCATTAATTCACCCTCCGCCTCTGCTATAACGCGCTTTGTTTAGATCTAATGGAAAAAGACTTTGGCACAGCTGTGTTGCACTTCCATTGCATTCACTTTTTCATTTGTCTGTATATTGCCAATTACAGCGTTGCCCAAGGCAGATTGAATTGGAAACTGACCTTCCTTTCCAGCTCCGCACAGGGACTTAATTTTGTACAGAAGCACCCATCAAATGATTCACCCCTGCTCATAATGCGTTGTGTGCTGGACCATGAAAATTAGTCAATTGTAATTGAATGTGCACTTTATTGCACTCGTTAAACGGTTACTTTTATGATATTTTTGCCTCGGGTCTCAAATGCTTGGTGTAGGAATATGTAATAAATAAATAAACGAGGCTGCTTTTCTCTATCCACGCATGTTTACCATTATATTGGTCGAAATTGTTTTGACAATACCACAGGTGAATTATAAATGTAAACACTATTGTATCATCATTAGTATTACACCTCTCTACCAAGGAAAGCCTGAATGTTTTGTGCGATCCCAATTGAATAATCCACAGGTATTTTATAATTATTGTGATGTTTGACCAATACCAGTTACATTGTTTGTTTTCGCTATGGGAGGAAACCGAAACACCCGGAGGAAGTCCGTGCAAAATAGGGGGAGAACATTTTTCTTGCTCTGAGGCACAAGTTCTTCCACTGTGCCACCCTGCCGCCCAAATAACATTTGAGTAATAGAATTAAAAAAAAATAGTTATTGGTTTTCACATTCAAGGGTTACGTGAACCACCGAGCCCGTTCCAGCACTTAATTTGCATAGGCAACCACATGCTATGCAGACTGTGGATGTAAAAAGAGTATAACTCTCTCCAACCCATTCACAAATCCATGCACCAGCGAGCGCCCTCCGATGGACGAGCCGCGGGGTATCCTATTTCATTCCGTCGCTGGCTGCGAAATCCGCTTAGGGCTGGTGATGCAACGCCGCTGTTATCGGCGCGACACACCCAACTAAATGCGGGTTTGCACCGTGGAGTGTGGCCTCTGACCACTAGAGACTGACCCGTATCTACCAAACTTGCACCACATGAGGTAGCTACAGCAGGCAGATGCTTTGGTGAGAGCTCATTCAGACAAAACGCGCCCATGTAAGTGGGATCTGGATTGTTTTGGTACAAATATATCAGACAAACATATCAGCAGACAACAATCGTACAAATATTGAGCACAGCCTACACAACATTTTCCATGTTTCAATGTTATCTTAGTTTTAAAAATGCATAATTTGTGTTGGTACAGTGAGCGTACACTAATTTCAACGCTTGACATTGTGTGGTACAATATATTCTACTGTACATTTGCCAGATGGGGGAATAGAAACCATTTCTATTATGTGGCACGCAGAATGTTTATACTATACTGATGAATAGCGGAACTTCAAAGTCCGGTGAATTAAGCGTAACATCCACAAACGCATTCCTGGAGGTTTTAGGGAGTTAACGTCATTGATGTTGCTTAGTTTGGCCATGAAAGCTTCATCTTGTGACAGCTGTGACGGGTATATTATTCCATCATTGAGAAACCCTATGGCCAAATCGACCCAACGATCCAAGCTCCGGTCGTATATCGCCGCGCGGTGTTGGCTTCGTCATCTCGACGTTGGCTCATTGAAGAGAGTCGTCTGCAACGGGGCGTTTCAATTCCCCACGCTTTGGGGGGTCAATGGCGCTGTTGTAAAAACGCCACTTTGTAAAACGTGGTGCCAATCCTTCTCTTCCTTGCGTTCAAGCACAGCAGCCGGAATCAGGCTCGAGCGCACGTGCAAAAGTCGCCCTGCGTGGCGCCGTCCACCATGCAATGAGAAGTGGGGTTTTTTTTAATCATTGCAACACCTTCACGCAAAACCGCAGCCCTCTTATCTCACTGCATCTTTACAGGGTTTCCGATTCACGTTTTATTTTTTCTAGAATAAGTGCCTTCCGCTGCAATAAAAGGTGGTGCTAGGATATTGATGTGCATGTCGTTCCAAATTAATATTTTGTGTTAATAAAGAATGGGATGTTAAAACATTTGTACGTCACGTCGGTTTACTATGCTTTGAAAAATCGAAGTTAACGATAATGCGTCGGTCATGGCAATTGTTTGACCATGCTTTACGGTCGTCGGTGTGGGTTGGTGAAGAGGCGACCAGAACCGGCTCAGATATCACTGGCCAATAATGGTAGCCATGGCCAGAAATCAAACGGATTCCTGGGGACGTTATCCATAGCACAGCGCGCAAATCACAACACCAATCTTCCAACCCCCCCCCCTACCTATATGTATTACTGTACTGTGTAAAACATTTCCATTTGTTAAAGATCTTCCGATTTGTTTAAAATCGTACAGTTTTATTTCGTGTTCTCTCTCGTCTATTTTTTTTTATCTGTTAACCGCTCGAATAAAAAAACATCGTTGTGTATACAGTTGTTTAGTTGAATTCAGTTACACGTGACAGATTCCATTCAAATACAGTTAAAATCAGAAACAATACAATAATTACAACACACGTCGCCACTAGAGGACGTTAATGATCAAGAAGTATTGGAAAATAATGAATACATGTTTATACTCTATATACGTTATCATTCGAATAATAAATGCCTCGTATCCATCCGATTAGAACCCCAGTGTCGTGATCACTTAAGGTGTCCATTGGCAGGACAAGTCGCTGGTCAAGAGCTGTAACCGAACGACAGCCAAGGTATGGAACGAATGCAAGTGGCCGTCCACCGTGTAGAGGGAGCAACACAATCAGCAAGCAGGTGCTAGGTGTATTATTACATCGTGAGAGATGACAACGGCTTAGGGAGGACTTCATCCAGCAGTGGATTGATCATGGCTGGTTCTTGTCTTCATCGCATTGTGCTGAGTGAATATAATCGCTGTGCTGTTTGGATGCAATCTTGGTTGCGGATCAGCATTTTCATCGTGCTCTTGGAATAAAGCAGGGGATGTTTCAGAGTCGGAGTGTTTGGTTGACGTCTCGTGCAATTCAGTTCGGCGGTTATCTTCTGGCTTCTGGAGAGAGGAAAATATAATGTTGTACTTCAGCAGCTTAAGTTCACGACGTGGTCCCTGTTCAAACGAATTACATGGGGCGAACAGCACATTGGCACGCTAAAGATGTAAGCCAATGTATTTGTATTCTAAGAGAAGTCCGTGAACCCAAAGCCCACGAATCTCCACCCCACAATCCACCCCAATCATATCAGAAAATCACATATTGCCTCGGTGACTTGTCCGCCTTTTATGCCTGTAACACTCAAGATGTTTGACCCTTTGGTGGAGAGCCCCATAAATTGATAATGCGGTGCTGTTGGCAAGGGTCAACAAGCCGCAAATAAATGGAGCTTTCGCAAGGCGACCAGCAGAGAGCGTGAAAAACAACCGTTTCCGTCCACTACAGGGCAGAGTTTACGAGTGACGTGTGAGCACACAGGCTGTTGAGCGTGTGCGCGATTACTAAACGGGTCTTCACGTAACTCACCACACTCAGAGCGGATGTAGGCTGTGTTGAAACAGAAAAGACACTCCTGCACGGAAATCGCCCGATGACTCGTACTTCTTGCAAATTCAATACTGTACAACAATGCAACATTCTTTCAATACCCCGTGCGCAGGGTCGGATTAAGGCACGGGACTTGAGGGGTTGCAGCCCAGGGGCCTCCGCCAGCTGGAGGGCTTCCAGAGATTAAGTGAAACGTTATTTCATTTGTGAATGATGAATTTTATTTGTTGTTAATTTTTCTTTAACTTTGTTTTCCTTTAGAAAATATTACTGGGGGCCTCACAGTACCTGTAGCCCAGGGGCCTCACGGTACCTGTAGCCCAGGGGCCTCAGTACCTGCAGCCCAGGGGCCTCACAGTACCTGTAGCCCAGGGGCCTCACAGAACCTGTAGCCCAGGGGCCTCACAGTACCTGTAGCCCAGGGTCCTCACAGTACCTGTAGCCCAGGGGCCTCACAGTACCTGTATCCCAGGGGCCTCACAGAACCTGTAGCCCAGGGGCCTCACAGTACCAGTAGCCCAGGGGCCTCACAGTACCTGTAGCCCAGGGGCCTCACAGTACCTGTAGCCCAGGGTTCTCACAGTACCTGTAGCCCAGGGGCCTCACAGTACCTGTATCCCAGGGGCCTCAGAACCTGTAGCCCAGGGGCCTCACAGTACCTGTAGCCCAGGGGCCTCACAGTACCTGTAGCCCAGGGGCCTCACAGTAGCTGTAGCCCAGGGGCCTCACAGTACCTGTAGCCCAGGGGCCCCACAGTACCTGTAGCCCAGGGGCCTCACAGTACCTGTATCCCAGGGGCCTCACAGAACCTGTAGCCCAGGGTTCTCACAGTACCTGTAGCCCAGGGGCCTCACAGTACCTGTATCCCAGGGGCCTCAGAACCTGTAGCCCAGGGGCCTCACAGTACCTGTAGCCCAGGGGCCTCACAGTACCTGTAGCCCAGGGGCCTCACAGTACCTGTAGCCCAGGGGCCTCACAGTAGCTGTAGCCCAGGGGCCTCACAGTACCTGTAGCCCAGGGGCCCCACAGTACCTGTAGCCCAGGGGCCTCACAGTACCTGTAGCCCAGGGGCCTCACAGTACCTGTAGCCCAGGGGCTGACAAAATCTTAATCCGGCCCTGCCCGTGCACTTACTGGACATCTGTGGAAAAGGAGCTTTATAGCTTATCGGATTCCTCCAGCATAAATATTCTGATTTTGAAGATCCTCCCTGGGCCAATCTTGTAAAATAGCTTCAGGCTTCAGGCTGAATGTTTCCTACCGGCGTAAACAAATAAAATGAGTGATTAAAAAGTATTTCGATGTATTCGGTTACACAGACGTGGGCAGGTTTTTTATTTGGCCACATTTTCGTTATCGGCTGGCTTGTTGCTTTGAGTCATTCTTTGACACGGTAAATTGATTGCCCCGCAAAAGAACGCCACTGGTGTTCTCTCTGTACAGGGAGCTGAAATGAGACGGATAACTCGCGTTATGGTCAGGTGGCACGGACATTCTGACAGTGTCGTCCAAAAAAATACGTGTGTGCCGCAAACAAGTGCCCACACCGGCGCCTTTTATTACGCACGTCGCATGCCGTTTAAAACCCCAGAGCAGAAGCCACGGAAAGCCCCGTGCTCTGTGTAGGAAGCGGAAACGGCAGCCGTCGCAGACGATAGCTGCACCCTCAGGAAACGCACACACACACACATCCTGTGGAACAGTGGTGGCAAGGGGTGCGTGAGCTTCACACGAAGTGAGACTGCTGTCGCCACTGCTCTGTGACGGGCCCGGCATGCGCGCTGTGTGCTTCGACGTGGAAAGAGAGAGGCAGTTTGTTTCGGGAGACTTGGCCCACACAAACACACACGCGCGCAAACTCAACCCCTTTCGGTCATCTGGGCCAAAATTCCAACAGACCAACTGCTAAAAAGTTGTTGCGCAAATTTTTTCTCTCTCCCCCCCCCCCTCTTGTCGGGGAGTATTTTGGCCGCCAAACGGATGGGGGGAGCCGTGGGGAGCTGGCGCGTGGTGGAACAGAGAGAGCCGGCAGATTTTGATCACTAAATAGACAGCGGCACCTGCGTCTTCCATAATTTACCCAGGAGCGGTCGCGCATTTTGATCGCAGTCCACGGCGCTGCAGTAAGTTCTCTGTTGGGACGAAGAATAGAGTCGGGCAGCGCGAAGCACCGCGTGTGATGCTGGATGGTTCACGGCCGGGGCAGCCGCTCTCTCAAACTCGCTCCCCCCACCCCTACCCACCCCCTGCCGCTTGAGCAATGAGCAAGGAGCTCGCCCGGGCATGGAGCGCCGACTGCGAGCCGCTCGGAACTTTGCCCGAGGTCAGCGTCTTGCAGGTGGCCCCGGAGGATGAGAAGGACGAGGGCGATGAGGACGTCAAGAGGCTCCACAACTTGGCGTACACAGTGGCCACGCTGCCGCGCAATCATAAAACCAAGGTGCGTGGCGAATTCATCCGGCGCTTCGGGACTGCAGAATTGCGCGCGTTCGGTGGCCGTGGCCATCGGTGTGTAGATTACATTCACGCCGAGCCGATCGCTGCATTTCAAGGTTGCCTCTGTGCGTCTCACGGAGGAGCGCGGTGAAGGCAATGCGCCGTGGCACGCGTCTCGCAAGCGGGCGAAAATTTCTGGGTTTGCGAAAGTACGCCTGATTATTTATCTCGAATGGGTCGCAGGGCATTGTGTGTACTGTATAATGCGCATGCCCTGGGTGGTCTCAAATGAACGTGTTCGGCAGTGGACGCGCGGGATGCTTCGTCATTGTTCGGAGACAACGGGACATCAACTGACAAGCTCGCTCGGCTCTCCGGTAGAAGTCAGTCTTTAATTTCAAAAGGACTATTTTAGAGGTTAATTTACACGCATTGTTATCGTGCGCCATGGAAAGTGACTGTTGGATGAAGGCCTCCTCCCCGCCTTCATTATCTCTCGAAGTCCTGCATTGTCACATCAATGAATGTGAATGATATATTTATTTATATTAAACAGCGCTTAAAACAATAATACACACGTCGTGATCCGTAAAATGTAACACACTCCACAGCGATTTCTGCGAAATTTCAGGCAATTACAGCGAAATAGCCTGAAATGCTTCAGGCTGTTATGGAGAGGCCAACATTGAGGAAGTCAGCCTAGAAATTCATGGGAGACTGCGTGAACATGTCTTGCGGACAGCCTGAGAATTCTGAAAAGCCACTGACTGAAAAATTCAAGAAGTTATTCCCTAGCTGCCTGAAAGTAATGAATGTTCATATTTTCTTTCGATGTGCGACATATTTTCCAGGCGACTGTATGTATGTCATATTTGGACGCTAATTAGTGACAGCCAGACATGGGACAAGGGTGATTAATTGCGTTCGTGTATTCTGATGTTTTGTTGTTTTTTTACAAGCTAGCTTATACACATTCACATCACACGTAGTGAAGGCACTATTGTGGTTTATGTAATCGCAGCAAGCGGCGTGGCGTGACTTACTTGTGCCTGTGTGTTCTTCACAGAGTGTGATCACCCGTTGGAAAAACACATACCATGGATTAGCAGAATCTACAAGGTACAGTTTATTTTATTAACAATAAACGACAGTCCATTGTCAATGCCACTGCTAGAGGAAGGCCTCCCCACGCCATGTCAGTCATGGGGGGTTTTTGACCACACTTTCACTGTGCAGGTCAATTTTGGGTTGGTGTAAAGTGGACCATGCCTGATTGAGATGTCACTCGCCACTAATGTTAGCTATGGCCGGGAATGAAACGCAGATCGGCAGGCTCATGGTGCCGTGTGTTAATTAACCACTGCTATTATTTTCATAGCATTTGTATAGAATTATAATTCAAATAAAGTGTAAGAAAATGCATATTTTGTTATGTTAAAGTAAGGTATTTAAAGCATTATATTTGTGTCGAAAGAACATGTTTGCAGACATGATCGCATGGTGTATTAGTTTACCCGCAGCCTAACTTGTTTAAAACTTGGCCAATATATCTTCTTCTTTTATTGAATTTCAGGCGTACAATCACCATCGAGAAGGAGGATGACGAATCATACGGATTCGAGCTGCAGGTCTGTGCCTTCCTAATTGCCCGCATTTCGCTCTTCAGACGGGTTTGCTCGAGATTAGCCGATTCCACTTTGGACTCGCCGAGAGGACAATTGAATAAATCCCACATGCTCTAGAGGCACAGCTACCCACACTGCCCACGCTCCATTAGATTTGGTGTCTCTTACCACAAATTAAGCTCCCACAGTCCAGAAATTGGCCACTTAAGCGAGCCTCCTTGACACCGGCATCGGTAGGCTGGTAGAGCAAGTCACACGTATCTGTTTAACTGGCATGTATGGACAGCAGGACGTTTCCTGGTCAAGTCCAGACAGGCGTGATGATGCACATACCTGTAAGCCAGAGCTTAGGAGGAGGCAAGGGTTTGTGAATCGCGCAGATTTGTGACTCCCAAACCCTCTTGGCTGTGAGATGGCCACAATCTGGCAGTAGAGAGAGTTGATTTGTGAACCTACGTTAGTGTTAATTTTTGAGTTTTTCTCCCAAATGTGAAACACTCATCAAAAAAGGAATTGGCCAAACATGTCATGAAAAAGTAAAACATTCAGTGAGACTTTCATGACCACATAAATGTTATTATTATTAGCTTTAGAAGGCTGGAGTTTATTAAAATCACTGCTCCATACATTTTGGCAGACGTTACATTTTTGGGGAGCCAATGCCAAAATCTTACATAGACAAACCATTGTTGCTCACGGTCAAGTTCTGATATTCTGGCAGTTCACTCAATGGTGCAATGAGCGCTTGTGCTGTGACATTTACTGGTCACTGGCCACCTACAATTTCCTGGTGTCATTTCCTCTGCGTGCAGACTTACGGGCTGCGCAACCGAGTGGTCAGTGAGCTGGAGATGTGCACCTATGTCTTCAAGGTGAAGGAAGAGGGCCCTGCAGAGCGCGCTGGCATGAAAGCAGGTGCTTCACTCTCTACATGGCACTCCACATGTGCAACACGTTTATGACTATAGTCAGGGCTTGATTTCTCACTCGACATTTTCCAGAAGGCTGCTAGGCTGACTTGGAGTAGACATTATCGGTTATAACGCATTATCACTAGAGTACATGGTAAACTTATCTGTAATAGTCCTATGTTATTGTGGCCTGTATTCCTGTAATCGTATGAACATGTATTTTTTATTAGATAAAAAATCAAGTGAAATGGATGTGGTGTGCTAAAATAAGACTTGGAACAGCAATCTGGAGTGTTCAGACTGAACTGAAACTCTCACGATGGTACCCTAAAGTGTCCCAAGCCTGTGTGTCTAGTAACTCGTGTTGGTATGCTGTGACTTAGGTGACATCCTCATCACCATCAATGACTCAAACGTGGAAGGAATTCCTCATAAGCAAATTGTAGACATCATCCGAGAAGCTGGGAATTGTTTAAGGTATGAACACTTGCATATAATCTGTGCAATTGCATATTGGATCAAGATACAAAACACTAAAAAGCAATATAATGAATCTATATATATGAAATTTACAATCCTTTGTCAGTTCAACTCTGGATGGACTCCTTACCGCATTCTGGTAATGGGGGTTTGTTTGACTATACTTCACCATGATGGTCAGTTGTGGGTAAATGAAGCAGTTGAAAGTAACCAGGACTAGTCAGCCAATGAAGTGAAATACATTTTGTACTTGCCGTGAAGAAACAGAGCAACTTTTGTTTTTGCTTCGTAATCCATTTCAGATATTACCCACTGGTAATGGCCATCAAATAAAGATAATGCAATAAGCACTGCACGATTGCTGCACACGAAATGTTGTACAAACGACTAAAATGTAATTATGACATTTTTTTCAAAGGATTGAAGTTGAGTTTGGAACAATGGCCAGAAGAATGGAGCTGCAAACGCGCCTTCAGTACCTCAAGGTATACGAACGAATGTGTATACCTTATGCATAAACCAGTTGGAGTTGATTCATGGTCAGTATCACTTGTGCTGGTTTTGACAATTGTGTTATTTTCTATTTTATGCAACAGCAAACAATGCATGAAAAGTGTAAGGAGTTACGGTCACTCCTCCAGCAGGAGCAACGACTGGTCCACGGTAAGAACGCTTCCGTGGGTAAAGTGGGCCTGTATGTACCACTATGGTCCGGTGTCCATAGGAAATAAACAACGGTTTAATTATTAACAACTTCGTTTAAGTCACAGTCGAGAAGTACGTCAATGTCGCCTGAGACACGCGGCGCCTGCTTTTTGTGCGAGCCGATTCAACAGTTTAGGGACCGTGGCGTTTTTGACCGACGCAAATATATATAAATAAAAAGGCGTCCATAGAAAATGTAAATTGCCTTAAAGTAGCAAATTAATTTATTAATGTATACCGATTATGATACATGCATGCATTGTCACCGGATCTGAGTACGTTGTGCAAAATGTGGAATTGATTGGACAACGGGAAGTGGACGAAATTCGGATTACAAGACTTGACCACGACAAACAGAGGAATCAAGTGAAGTAAAACTATTGAAAAAACTGATGATATGCCATACCAACAAGGTAACAAACAAAAAAAACATCCATGGTAAAAAGTTGAATATTATTGAATAGGACAGATTTAAATGAATAGTTTTCAGGGTTGTACCGTGTGCCATTTGGCATAATGTCCAACATGCCAGGTCACCCTTGAAAAATAGCTGTTTACCTCCCACAGGCCTTACCTGTCTCGATAAATTATCTCTCTAAAAGTCTCAATGCTGAACAATACGCGGTACATCCCAAAAACACATCGCAGAGACATGCAGAATCAGAATCTGCATTTATACTGGAGGCATCTGATTTCCAGTAGGGGTGGGTCAGCCAGTTGCATTAAAAGCAATACAAGGTTACAGGAGGAAGTAAGATCAAAGTGAAGCAAATCAATAGTAAATATAGATATATAGCATGGATGTACAAATTGCACAAGTATCTACATTTTTGCAGGTTTGCAAGATTAAAATGTAAACTTGGACAAGGCAACAAAACAGCAATAACAACAATCCAAGACCCGACCAAGACACTGTACAGCACTCAGGCAGTAGCTCCAAACTCAGTTCGGTTCTGGAAGGTTCCTAGACCGAGTCGCTAGCTGAGTGTGCGCAGCCAGTGCCTGATAATGGTGCAAGACGCACATGGGTTTGCGGAACACTCGACTTTCTGCATCATTGATTAGCACGGTTGGCGACATACGGTACAAAATAAGTTCAACATACGTACACTGCGACATTATCAGTGCAGTGAGCACCATGTTCAATGTACAGTGTCAATACACTCGACGACTATTTTGGGAGTGCACAATATATTACATGCACCGTGTAGCATATAATGTATTTTATATGAATTAAAACACCAGTCTGTTAAAACCACCAGAATAAGTTATGCAGCATATAATATATATTAAATTCACGAAAATTATGTGTATTATATTGTACGTATGTTGAACTTCTTTCGCACTGTACGTAGCCAACTGTGCTAATCAGAGGCGGGAAATAAATGATTTATTATTCTGAAATATTAATTCAATTTCTTGCTAAAATTAGCATTCAGGTGATGCTCATTCTCCCGTTTGCAGAATCGAGCCAGAAGCGGATTTCCACATACCTTTAGTGGGGGCAAGTCTAAATCATAGGACAACCACTGTTGACTTCCCCACAAAGTGGTACTCAATTTTATCAACCATGGATATGAACACCCACACTCTACGAATGTGGACAGTGGTTGGTGTTTTATTACGGGCATTAGGGTGTCCTCTGTAGTTTATAGCATGTATATTCAATGGGAATACTGTTACATATAGATGTTTGTGCATAGAGGCAGCTGTTTCAAACTACTCACAAACCGGCTACAAACACTGGCACGCGATTAATGAGAATATAATCTGTTGTCTTCGGATTAGTAATTACTGTGTGAATTTACATATATAGCGACAGAAAGTGGTCTACATAATATGGGCTGTTTGATGACACACGAGGTAATGAGGATCGCATTATTCAAATAAGTGGGATCTCAGCTTTCATAATTAAACATAGGGACTGCTTCAATCGCTTTGATCCAAAATTACACCTGTACCTTTTGACGGATGAATAAGGACGGCAATATCGTATACCGTACTCGAATTCACTTATAAAACTATCTCTTTTCACTGAATGTTCAGCTAAAATGGCCCATATACTTTTAAGGGTTTTCTATGATAATTGAGTCAGAACTTTTTTTTAACACTGATGCCATGGTCGCTTTGCAGCATCTGGTTCATATTGTTCGGGAGCTCGCAGTTCATTTCTCGGATGCTGCTGTGGTGTCATGGTTAGCACACTGGACTTGTAATCCCGGGGTTGCCGGTTCAATCTCCTGGCATCCAGTTGAAGCAATGGTGCAAGTTTCTTAAATCCCCCTGCCACCCAGCAGTAAAAATGGGTGCACCATGGTAATAAGTCGATTGGTAGGTCGTATGCGGTTAGTTCAAGTGTGGATATTCTTCCGAGATGACGGACCAGCTTGGCAGTGTAGGCACGAGGTTCTCTCGTGCTTCCTCTCGTGGAGGCTTTTTTCACGAGCAGTGGTGTCAGCAAGCACTTGTCAGGGCTGCACCGTTACACTTTCTACCTTCAGCTCACTTCCCGGTTGTTTGCCACACAGGCCTCGTGGCGGAGGACGACAGCATGTTCGAGACGCTGAGCACATTGTACAGCCTCAACCCGCCGCTCTGCAGAAGCAAGCGCGCTGGCCCCCTGCTCTCCAGTATGAGCAGCCTGCCCAGCAATTGGGCCGTGATCGCCGAGGACTCGGACGAGGCCGTCTACACCACGTGCTTGTACGGCGGCCTCCAGGACGGCGGCGCCGGCAAGGATGGTGCAGGGGCAGCCGCGGCAATAGCAGGGTTGAGCTTCCTGGACCAGGGCAGTCACAATCTGCGCATGTGCCGCAGTGAAATGGACCTCCAGCAGGTGCAGAGCCAAAGCCTGGCCGGCAGCATGAGCACACTCCCACGCAAAGGCAAGAAGTCTTCCCTCCGTAGGAGCCTCCGCCGCTTCATCCCAGGACTCAATAAGACTCTGGAGGAGGAACAAACTCCCTTTTGAAGGTCACTGGCTATGGCATACCTGTGAAGTGTGTAAGCTGGTGCAACTGGACTCGGGCCCATGGGCCGGAGGGGACCAGGCACCAGGCTATGAAGAGGAGGGGAAATTGAACAGGGGGCCCTATTTTTTACGTCTTGCACCAGGGCCCATGGTCAATGGACAGTCTTTAAATATAAAGGATATTACTGTTTCAGGAAAACTTTCCTTAAATGAAAAATGCCTTTGCCTTAAAATGTTTGGCACATTTTTTTACGCCATGGGTGGTTTTTTTTTTTTTACGAAATAGAAAACTATTTTCTTATGCCTATATTATTAACGTTGATTAAAGTACTTACATTTATAAACGTACAATTTGCGTGCCCAAATTTTTAATATTAAGACTTTTACGTGCGCTTTTATCGTTACATTGAACAGGTGCTGTTACCCTGGTGCCTTATGTGCGTACAGTGCCATTAAAATGTGAGCGACAACCCCGTGTCTGCAAGTTTTCTCCTTGATAAGAACAGTGTGTGTGTGTGCCACCATATAGAAGCAGATTAGCGTTTCTTGCTAATTTCCCTTTATGAGTCAAATGCTAGAGTACGACTACAATTTTTTTTTTCTGAGAAAAACCTTATTCCCATTGACCTGGTATGGTTTTGGTTGGTAATTCCTGACATTTGTGTGGTTATTTTGTTTGGAGTATGACAATACTTTAACTGCTAATTTCAGCACAAATATTGCCACTATGCACACTGAACATATTTAATTTATTAATCTTATTGGCTGCTGATAAAACAACAACAAAAAGTAAAAATGTTCATTAAATAAATTCGCGAAATTCACAGTGTAAGCTGAAAAGGAACGGCGCTCTTTTAAAGGCCATATTCAGAAACATTGCTTATTTAAAATAATGTATTCAGATGCATATGTATTTACTCCACTTAGGGTATACCACACAGAACTTCAGATATATATTTGCAATATAAGGTACACTTGGCAAAAATGCAAGCTGAATACAAGGATCAGAATTTCAGCACTAAGGTTTAGTCGAGAGTTAAACTAAGTGGCATAAATCAAGCCGCTCGACTTCCTTAGCTGTCGTCATCATTAGAGACAGAATGTGCAATCTAGGGGGGATCAAGACGTTCGAGTTACTGGCTACTTTTTGCATTTTACCTTTTGAAACGTGTCAATAGGTCCCATCCTGATGCTTTAAATGAAGGGGTGTTACATTTGTTCCCTTGTTCATGACAAAGGCCTCCTGACTTTTTTTTAAGTGGAACTACAGAAAAAATTACTTTAAATCAAAGTTGTGTTTTTTTTCATACAAAAGTTAACATTGCAGCATATTCAATTAATGCTGTCAATCATGCTGCCCCTTCATTGCATCTCGTGGTAGCGAGATGTTAACTACCTCTCGTGGTATACAGGAGTTGGTCGGTTCGATCCCAACCCTGACGCCTATATATTTGGAGTTTGCAGGTTCTCCCTATGGTCACGTGGATCTTTTTCCGGGTCTTTCGGTATTTCCCTCCGAACTTAAAAGCGTGCGTTTAGAGTATTTGACTGCTTTACATTTACACATGGTAATCCACTTTAATGGGCTATCATTTGTGGCCAGGTTGCTTTCTGAACGATAAGGTAAAAAAAATAGTTTAGTTTGGATATACAGGACCTCCTTCGCCCATATGCTCCAGCAAGGGTACTTCAGTCTTGGCTGTTGTGCGTGTCGAGGTCACGCCTCTGGACGATGGGTGACCGGGCCTTTTTTCGTGTGCCCACCCCCTACCCCCCTGCGGAATTCACTTCCACTTTGACGTTCGCCCTGCTGACTCTCTTTATTCAAATAGCGCCACGAACACACGCTTATTTTCAAGGGATTTGTATTCTATTTCTTGAATCCTTTATTTGGGGGTCGGATTTGATTTGGTGCGAGCCTATGTAATAAATTCTGTACTTCCAAGTCGCATTATGGTAAAGTTGTATTGCCAATGCATATTTCGTCGAACTGACCACGCATTGTGCTGCACCGTACAGTAATTTGAAATAGTTTTTGCATATGGTACACACATGCCAGACCCTAACAAAGAGGCAGTTGAGTTAGAGACGTGCCCCCACCCACTCCAATCCCAATCCCTCCCCCCCCCATCCGACTGCACATCCCACACCCGTCCCCCACACACACACACAAAATTACAGGAAAAACTTGGCAAAAGCGGTGTATTGTGCTGACATTGGGTGGGGTGCATTGGAGCAACACAGTGAAGCAGAACCACATCCCCACACCCGCTTGTGCAAGCTAAACACAAACACGCGCACTGTAAAAGCGAGGCCGTGTTCCGTTGGGAAAAGTTCACGCTTTGTGAAATGCATGAGGGCCGCGCATTTCACAGTTCTGTGTCCCCAGTGGGTGAACACAAACGTGGCATTTTCATGTTGCCAGTGATATTTTTCATGAATACATGAAACCGTGTGGGACTGTGGCATCTGGCTCACGTTGGGTTGCGCACGAACCTCCCTTATTTACTTATTTATTTACCAAGTATTTCCTGAGATGTATTTGATGACTCCGAAGTACTGTACTGAAGTAGTACATTTTGAGCCGCAATAGTTCCTACTTCCTGCTTGATTGAGCACGTGGAACGTGTGAACAAGTTTTACAGTGCCAGGCTGTGACCTCAGCACCTCCGTTTAGCACAGAAAATTATTATTTTACCATAAAACACCACAAATTATTTATAATTACCAAAGTCATTCTTTTTTAACATATATGCTCATCTCTACTCGTTGGAAGTGTGTCATCTCAAATTGCGTGTTTTTAATGTCAGGTTTTTTTTTATTGTATTTCACTTATAAGCCACCAGAATAATGCCCTCTCATGTTCACTGTGTACTTCATTAATTAAATAATTGTTTTTTAGAACTCTCATAATAAAGTACAGCCCTTTGTTATTCCTACTACTGGATGAAAGCCTCCCCATGCCATCTCGGCCAGAGGGTTTATTTGACCATACTTCACTACGCTGGTCAATGCGCATTTATGATGCTGGTCAGTACAGGTTTGTGAATGGGTTCAGACTGATTCAGATATCACTCGCTACTGATGTTAGCTGTGGCCAGAATTCGAGCTCAATAGGTCACAAAGTTCAGAGTCCATTGTACTAACAGCTCATCCATTGTGCCAGCCAACTGCATTCTCTACCAATTTAGCTTTTTCATTCGATATGTTTATCTAATTTAATTAACAAAATGATGGTCATTAAATATGATTTTGGTGAGCAGTAGCACAGTGGTTAGCACACTTCACTATGAGTCTGGCAAGCCGAGGTCAATTCCTAGCTACGGCTAACATCGGTAGAGAGTAATATCTCAACGGTTCTACCGCCCTTCACAAACCTGCACTGACTAGCATGGTGAAGTATGGTCAAACTCACACAGCAGAGAGGCCTTCATCTAGACATATACTTCAAAGGTCTATAAATTACTAATGTTAATTTAATATTCTTCACCTAAAACCAACCCTGCCTTCTTAACTGATCAACTTTGGTGATGAGACCCACAGTGTCAAAACTGGTCCAGTTTAGTTGCGTAAACAAATGCTGCTGGATAATATTGGTCTGGAAATCCAATATGTAAAATAACTCAAACATGGTACAGTATTTGTACTGGGAGACAGAACGGAGGTCTACTGGTATAGTATCACCCATAATGCTCCACGACAACAACGCAAAACTGAGTTTTAACAACAACAAAAAACACATTTGGGAGCAGACGAAGGCGCATCCACCACACACCACCGGAAAGACGATTCCCGCCGTTATGTCCTCATTTCAGATCGAGATCTGTGTCGACACATTTTTCCACTGCAGTCGAGCAGCACGAGTGATCAACTTGACACACGCACACGCCAGTGTGACACCAATAAGGTGACCGTGCGCATTCAGAGCATGGCTCGTTGCTCGTCTTTTACAATGCCGGCCGAGGTGGCGAGCTATGGCAGCTGTACACGACCGAGAAGGCGTTTGTCCTCTCCTGCTGTCAGTGCAGCCATGCTTGTCCACAACAAGGTTTGTATTTTGGCACAGCTGACTCGGGTCCCGACTCTGATCCTACCATCTGTTATCAGCCCAGAGCTCCACAGCCAACGTTTACATTTTATGGACACTCCAATGCTAACATTTACGCAGCAAGATAACCCAGCTGCGCCCTTTTTTATATATATGAACAAAATCGTGAGGGGAGAGTAAAAACGTTAAGATCAGTTATAACTCATGTTGGCTAGATGGCGCTGTTGGTAGAGGTATGCACTCGCAGGTCAACAATCCAGTTTTCGTATGGCTCATGTTGATGTTGAGCAACAACTATAATTTCACGTTGAGGTTGTTGAGCAGATAATCGCGTCAGTGGTAGCGGGAGTTTATGGCTGTGATGCCTCCTTCGTATTCGAGAATCGGACATTTGAGTCATCAATCATCGATGGAGGGTCACCTCGACCATCATACCTCCAGAGATGATTAAGTACCACTCTGTGGGAAGCTTCCACAGTCGTCACCTCACGGATACATTGGTAAAGGGGGTCTGGAATTTCCACCACTGCCTAGTGGCTGTTGAGGGACCCACCCCACCCCACTGCTCATTAGAGTCGTTAGGAACCCCTTGACTGGAAGTCGTAATGAAACATATATTGTAATAATGTATAAGGAATGCCCACCAATGATATCAACTCGTTTTCATGAGAAATCACGGGACCATAATGGATGGCTATGACTGACTTGGGCAAGACCTTCATTCAGCAGTGGATAGAGCGTGGCTGGAGATATATATGCGCATTAATGCAGTTCTTTAAAATGGAGCGTTTTCCTTCATGGGCGAATGAACCGAACCGTGAAATTTGTGGCAGTGTTTTGCTGGTTCGGCAAAAATACAAATAAAGCAACGTTTGTTTTCTCCTGATAACATTTATGTGATCGCGTGTTAAAACTGTTCACACATGGATTACTTATTTGTTCAATTATTTGTTCGAGCCTATGCCGGAACCCCACGTGTTAGGCTTGTACCCCAACCCTAATTGTAATACAGTCGAATTAAATTAACCCCCCCCCCCCACCCCCTGTTCTCTTGACGTTATAGAATTAAGAGACGTCCGCTACTTACGAACATGTTTTGTTCCTGAGACCCGTTCGTAAGTCGAACGGTTCGTAAGTTAGAACACAAAAAATATACTGTATTTAAATGCCCATAACGGCCAGTGCTATGAAATATGTTCGGGTTGAACAGAAAAGGGAAGCATTGTTAAACTTATGAATAATAATAATAAATACTCTTATATAAGCGCACAACTTTATCTATCTGTGACGAACGCTGCACTTTCCGTCGTTTTCATGCAGGGGGCGCTGCAGACCTCCACGTGCCCCCTGCATGAACGACGGAGGCGCACGGACAGACGTTCGATCACGTTGGTATCGATCTGCAGACGGCGGTCTTCTCGCACGGCCAGCAGCCCCGTGTCGCCTGATCTCGATCCCGCAATCACAAACAGGTGAAAGTCCGCATCGAACCGAACCCTCCCCTCCTCCCCAAGCAAGGTCATCTAATTAACGTCGAGAGAACATTCACACGAAGCGTCCTTCTCAATGAAGTCTTCCGGATGTAAAATGATATCAGCTTTTAATGAAGAAATACAATTATCTAATTCAAAACATAATAAAATTCAAAGATGTTTAATTTAAAAAAAAAAAACTTCTAAACGGAGCATCGGGTGCTTGCGTGAACGCGTCGTTCGTGTGAGGGGTGCCGCAGGCGCCCTCGAACAATCCCTAGTGATAAAAAATAATAATAATAATGTACATTTGCATGTAAAAACTGTTATAAATACTACATAGTAAATCAAACATGAAATCAAATAACATGAATAGAAAAAAAATCTGTTGGTTTTTTTTCACTTACCTTGAGCCCTGATGCTGGCTGGCTTGCTTGTTGGAAGGGATGCAAAAGAGTCACCCACAATTGCGGTAACACACACGGAGCACGTGCACACACACACACACAAGGCATACACGTGTGTGCACACACAAACACTCACTCCCTGCACGAGGTTGACTCAATACATTTCGCAGAGGATCGCTCCGCTGGACAAAATAGTTCCGCAATTCAGTTTTCTAGTGTGATTTCGCATTTTAAGTCGATGTAAAAAAAACAAGGAAACGGGTTCGTAAGTGCGGGTGTTCGTAAGTCGGTATGTTCGTAAGTCGGTATGTTCGTAAGTCGAGGACTGCATGCGCAGAAAAAATGCTGAACTTTTATATAGCAATGATCGGCACTCCCCACTGAGCAAATACTGCCCTCTTGTGGTAACATTATTTTATCTCAAGGACTATTTCTAGATTATATAATAGATGAAACTCAACATGTTCGACAATGACACTGCTTTAAAATGGGTAAAATTGTATAAAATGCAGGTGACTTTTGGGTAATGGTCCTTCTTCATGTGCTATGGAGAAGTGTTATTGGCTAATATGTCGCCTATCATATACATTTTCCTTTTTAGACAGTGTTAATAATGCAAATGTTGAGGTTTTTTTGTTATTTGTGCTTGTGCACCATGACCAGCGTAAGACCTCAAAATAATTAGCTTTACATAGCAGCTGCTTAGGTTCGACTGCCATAAGTTTACATTGTATTATCATCTTGAAGGATTTTCTTTTCCTTCCAGGGAAATTGAGTGTTGGATTGAGGGTTAATTTAATTGACATTTTGGCCATATGTTTTTGTTATCTTTATTTTATCAAGCAAATTTAACACAATGTAAATGTTTATATTATTTTAACAATCATAAGTGTGGTTGCATATACTATACAAGGAATATGCATTTAACACGATGACCATGAACTTGCTCGTGGTACCACGGAGTCACTGATCTTCCCTCGAGATAAATGCGTTATGGCATTGCTAGGCACTGCCTGGATTCAAACCATCAAACACGGGCACAAACTAGCTCAGTGGAAACTGCGCTTACGATTACACTATTAAGCCAAATATGCAAACACGAAGCTACTCACCTGACTTACATACACACCTTAAATTTATAGAAAATACGTATCATATATATGTAGAGTGAAACACAATACACAAAAATTACTCCTATCGCAAAAAGCGTAGCTATTGACTGCACAGGGGTGACTGTGCCCTTGTAATGCCCCTGTTGCTGTAATTGCGAGTTAAATCATTGGAACTGAACACGGAAATCCTATTCAGCACTGAGTGCTTTGCACAGCAACAGGGAAAATTTATTAAGTAATCTTTTACGCCATTGGAACTGGAGAACGCCCTTGTTCAAAAGAGGAGCGCGATTTATAATGCGCAACTGATGACTTCCAAAAAAAATGTATTTTAAAAACAATAGGTTTTCTTAAACAGGTAATCATAAAAACAAGGGTAGTGCAGATTCAATCAGAAGTTAAGTGTTACACACTTTAATACAATGGAGGCTTGCAGCTCAATCCATAGAGACAGGTTTAATGAACTAAGCCTATTATATTACCATGGTGATACGGGTTTTTAACAAAGTGTAGGCATGCTTTTTGCTGATTTCCCAAAACATAACCATAACCACAATAAGTGCAAGTGACATTTTCCACGTAATATATTTTTACAGCACATTTCAATATTCTGTCAAAACTGTGTGCAATCTCAACTGTTAATAAAAAGGTTTGCATTGTTGTCATTATTATTAATACTATTATTGACCGTGACAGTCTTACATGAGTGTGGTAGATGAAATTAATACATTATTTATGAATGTGTCTATGGCTTTGTTTTTGATGTATTTAACAAGAGGAATGTGTGTGTGTGTATAAATGATTGCAATGCAGTGCATGAGGTACAAGTTCCTTAGCTACACAGTAGCAAACCCCTTTAAGAAGGCTTAGGAGTCATATGAGGCAGTTTTTTTTTCCAGTGTCCCCCGGTAAGCACCAACCACAAAGCACGGCATTCAATTACTAAGCCGCGGGTTGAAGTGCCAGAGATTTCGTTGATTCGTTTCAATGAATTTTCAAGAGCGCCATGCCAGAGTGATCAGGAGAGAAAAAAGTGCTTTCCGCATTACTCTGAGCTCTAATCTTTGCATCTGATTTAGGCACACGAGGCCCCTTGAGTGGACACTCCGAATGCCAAACAGCCGGACAATTACTGCTGCAATGCTTCAATAGCCGATCAAGTTCAACGCTAGATAAATTTTTAAAAAAATTGTTCAAAAAGCAACCCCCCCCACCAACCCCCCTGGGTCATACTCCTTGATAAGGGACCATCTCAGCGCCCAGGACGAAGTGCATCGAAAGAGTAAGTCAATCAGAGCAAAACAAAGTGAATATTCCTGCTCTGTTTTTACTACTGTGGCAAGGTAGGTTACTTGTTACTCTGAGTCGTATGTCTACGTCTGTATGTTAATCACAGGGACATGGCTGAGAATGCAGCAGAGAAGCAAGATGCAGACGCGGTAATCACCTCCACCAATGGCAGCTCAAAGGACGACAAAGGATCACTGATGGAGGCGAGAGAAGAGACGCGAGAGGATGTATGTGAGGAGTCATCGCAGCTCGACAGCTACACTCCGGAGAATGGTGTCAGTCAGACGGAGGAAGCTCGGCAGGGAGACAAACGTGAACCTGACGGCGAGAAAACGCATGCAGACGAGACGGCAAGCATTCCGCCTCTGTCCGAACAAGCAGGTAAGGCGTTTAACTTTCTCTATGCGTAAGCAATGTGACCCAATTACCCAAAACTTTAATAAATAAACAGATCGGTTTTTTTTGCAAAAGAAACAAACAATGTTTTGATTAAAGTCATGCAGTATCTGAAACTTATTAGATTTACAATTTTGTTGATTTGTCACAATACACACACCATAAATGACACTTGTCCGATAAGATTTGTACAGCATTCAACTGATGTATGCTGGAGGACTGGTTATATTATATTTGTCTATGTATATAAGACTCAATTCCCAACATACCGCAAATTCCTGTCATATATCCAGGGGGCAACTTAATGATTTTACTGAAAATGACATGTTATGCTCCATGCTTCACACACACATATGCTTTGACGCATACTGTGTCAGATTTATGTTTGCTTTTAGTTGCCGTTCCTTGATATATCATGTAATTAAAAGAGCTAGAATCTTTATCTGAGTTTAGATCAATTACCATCACCTGCGACTCCATGTGAACGATGGCATACAATTATCATCAGAAAATATTGTGTGGTTTTAAAACATTCTGATGAAAATTACATGAATATCGAGTTCGAAATACATTTTTGGATAATATTTCCAAATGAAAAGTGTCAGCGTGAGCAAAGGCTCAGTAACCCCATATACATTTTTTTTCATCGATATGGTATCACTAAATTTTGTTTATAATTAATGCATAAACGTAAATATTAATCCATGGTGGAGTGATGATGCAGTACTTAACGTGTCACACAATGAACCCGGTTACATGAGTTCAATTCCCGGCCACGGCTAATATCAACGCTGACTAATATCTGACTTGGTCCGGGGCACCCACTTCACTAACACGCCCTGACCAGCATGGTGATGCACAATCAAACAATTCCCACGAAAGAGAGGGGGCCTTCATCCAACAGTGGATTTACAAAGGGGTGTTCATTATCATGTTTTTCATTAAACAACCTCGCGTGTACACTCTCTTTCAGAGGAAGGTAATCCGTTTTCGAACAGAACAACTCAAAATCCATCTTCCATTTGTGATGTTGACTCTTTTGTCCTTGGCTTTATGTCTGTGATCCGAATTGCAACCTCTGATAATGCACAGTCACTGACAGTGACAATCCCCAACCAGTTCATACAGGACATATATGTTATTCCAAGACCCTTCACATTGTCACAGCATTGCTCTATAATATTCGAACATCATCCACTATTAGCTTTAGCAATGCTCTGCACGGGAGGCAAATTACTTGGTTCACTGATTTGATGACATTTATAGTGTTTTGCATTGGAAAATAATAAACTTTGGCTGACACTGCCCCACAAGTGAAACCAACCTCTTGGGCTGTAATTTGTGGGGGCCCAAATTTAAACATTGACTCAACTATATTTATGCCAAATATAAATTTTCCTGCCATTACAGATCATTATTAGAATTTGCATTAGTAACTCGGTCACAAGCTATGAAAACATCCCCAAATGCACCGGATCTTGTAAAATGGCCAGCTATGCAGGGTTCAGCCTGGCTAGTTATTTGGCTATGGATGCCAGGCTCTCATAGGCAGCTGCGAGGTTGTGATAGTGGTGGACAGCAGAGGGGGGGAGTGCATACAAATCCATCGTTTGTACTGTGATTGCGTGCTCCCCACCTTCATCAACCCGCACTGGCGAGGGAAGTGAAGTTGAAGGCAAGTGACCCCCCATGGCCTGCATGGTGTGGGGAGGCCCTCTCGCAGCATGGGATTGACATGTATGGGTTTTTGGTATAGTTTAGCAGTGGTGAGTCATTGTGTTCAATAATGCAAGTCATAATATTTACTGTGGTCACCTAGCAGATCAGGCGGTTGCTGTGGAAACAGGTGAAGGGGAGACCACTGAGGCAGAAGAGAGCCCCAGTTCAGATCAATCAGACTCCGCGCAAGCAGAGGAGGAGGAGGAGATGCAACCGCAGTGCGATTCTCCCAGCGATGCCAACGGCGCCGACTCTGCGCCAGATGCGGTGTCGCCTACAGCAAAGCCCCGCAGCCCATCCATTGTGTTTCCAGTCGAGGCTCGACGGAGAGACGTGGCCAAGTGCTCGTACAACATGTACAACACCGTCTCCTACCGGAACATCCGCAAGGGCAATACCCGTCAGCGCATCGATGAGTTTGAGTCCATGATGTACACCAACTAGCGTCGTGAGCACGCTGCAGTAGCGTTAAGTTGTGTTTCCAACTGTGTAGCTCGTGAACGAAGCTCTGGTGAATTAGCGCAAAGATGTTTTTTTTTTAATTTGTTGCCAAGATTGGAATTTTTTTAAGAAGTGTGAAAATTTGAAGATTATGCCAATTTCACAGGAATTTGAGCTGATTAGTGACCGCCGCTAACTGTACTTTGCAATGGAAAGTGGAAGAATGAGATATATAATGCATTTGCAACAAGGCACCAGAGTATTTAGTAGAATGGATGTGTTATTAAATTGATATATTCCAAGATGTTTGTGGATACATATGCTTCTATCAACTGATATATTGATGTAAAGAACATTAATCTGTTTTACATTTCTATAGTGCTTCATTTAGATTATCATATTTTAATAATCTACAAACAAAAGCATTGATGAGATGATGATTACATCTGGATGGTAGGCCTACTACAAGATAGCGATTTACATAGAAGACAATATTTGGTGTTTCAAATATGTTAGTTTGTGTTATTTTAATAACACAATTGTTGTGTTGTTTTTCTGTGATGTGTTTAAAATGAACAAAATAAAAATGTGCTTTAAAAATAAAAACAGCGACGTTGCTTCCCATTGTGGGATTTAATAACATGCACCATACTGCATACCATTATCGTGATTCATGATCAATCCACCGCTGTATTATGGCCCTCCCCAAGCTTCCGGCATCTTCGGCGATCCTGCAATGCTAGAATCTACCAGGCAACTGCACACGAGCTGAGTACATCACTCCCCCTTCTCAGCTAATGTCCTGCAGGAACGGCGTTCTATTTTTATTTTGCTGCCAGCCTGTCACTAATTTTAACCATCGGCCATCCATCCCCTATCGTGGCATGTCCTACCCAAGTCCATACTTTCCTCAGAGGTTTGAATTTCCTTCGACGTGAAAAAGAGCTTCATGGCTCATCGGATTCCTCCAGTATAAATGCATATTCTGATTCTGAATCCTTGTGACACACGAACAGACCATACAGCGGCAGTTACTTACTGCATTCCTCACAATCTACACAGTACGCAATATCCACACACTTCCACATCTGTCATAAAAATTCAATGTGGATTAACATAGCATATGCGTGCGACTGCATCTCAAAAACTGCGAAGACACATTTCCCCAATGCGAAGAAACAAGTGGGGAAAAGAGTCGTTGACGGGCAGAGGAAACGAGGAAGGTCTTGAGCCTGGACTTGAACAGGGCTAGGGACAGTCAACAAGTATGCTATACAGTACTCACACGCACAAAAGACGGCATTGGGGAAATGTTATTTGGTGGCGTAAAAAGTCAACGAGTATCCAAGCCCGAAGGAAGGGTACATATCCGTTATGGCTGTTCTGACCAATGGTACAAATTGCACACCCACACGGCAGGCAACACGGCTCTCTGTTAGACACGAGTGAGTTCTCACAAAGTGACATTGCATTTCTATCCATCCTGGAGGTACGATGGACTGAGTCGACTGACTGGGATTTGAACCTCACAACCTTCAGATTGCGATTCGGGAAAGTTGCCAATTGTGCCACCTTTCTGGATCACTTAACGTGCAGCTGTCAAAACACAGCAGCCGACCATACACAGTGCAGCAGTGGCATTCCGTGGCTCCAGGGTGAGTAGGCAAACAATCGGCCTCTAGTTTTCCAATTACAGGTGGACTCGCCGAGAAAGATAAATGTGCTGGCAATGACTTAATCATCAAGGCTTTATCTTTGTATCCATACTATGGATCTTACCATAGCTACAAACACCTACGCGATAAATTAACCGAGGTGATGTCAGAACTGTTATCCTTCCCCCGCACCTCCGATTAGCACGGGTGGCTGCCGACTTTGCGAAAGAAGTTCAACATACAGTACATATAATAAGCTCAACACAAAGACCAATGAGCTCACAGACCCACTGAGAGACTGGAATGCACTGGCGGTGACTTCATTATTAGCACCAGATGGACGCACACAGCCCAAGCAGCGTCCCAGGAGAACTGGTCACCTGAGAGCCCAGCACTGGTGGATCATCGCCATTATCCCCCACCACACGTTGCCTTCCTTGTTTTGCAACTATCAATGATTCCACCTGCACGCGTTATCACCTGGGAATAGAAACCCCCGAGGACGACTTCATTGCCTCCTCAGCTTGCACCCTTTGGGCTACTAAGTGCCACTGCGGTACAATACATAGGCAGGGCCGGATTAACGCAGGGGAGGGAGGGGTTAGTGGCTGTAGCCTGGAGCCTCCAATTTTTTACCCCCCCCCCCCATACGTCAAAACGCTTTACATTGGTTAAAACGTGAAAATGAAGGCCCATGAACTTCTTGAGAAAGTAATTGCAGGGCTGCGCCTGTACATTTTTACCTTAACCCGTTGAATAGAAAACACCATTGGACTCACTTTAACACGTAGGCTTTCGCGACAAAACTCATCCATAATACAGGTTTTTTTTGGGGGGGGGTTAGATCGCGTAATAAATATATAAATGTGTCGTTAAACCCGCTACCACCCGACACAACCAATTAGTAAGGGTTGTCACGTAAACAGAACATGCCAATTTGTCACTAGTACAGCACACCGGTGTGTTGGAGAGCCAAGCAACAACATTTACAATCTGAGTACGACGTTTCGCCAGTAATTACAACTAGCTTCATCGGGCGACAGCCAGATTTGTTGAGAAGTCCTCCTGTTTCGTTCCTTATATAGAGGCGTAAATGTGATGACAACACTTGTTCGCTCTTCTTACGCGAAGTGGGGGAAAGAGATTAATGAATCAACGTACATTATGCATGCGCGTTATGTGAGCCCATTGATCTTGTACTCCCTGTCCATTGTGTGTACTAAAATAGCCGTACCAACGGTACTCCCTATTGAGGTATGGTGGCTTGTATAGGCATTCATTTAAACAATGTATTATTAGATTATTCGCTTCCAATCAGCACTAAGTCTGTAGCTATCCCAACGGTTACAATTATTTTAATTTCTCTCAATTTCGATAGATTCTCCAATTAGTCTTGGTATGTAGTAACTAGTTTTGCACAGAACTTCAACATTATCAAAATTTATTGAGTGTCCTTGTTGGAACGAGTGTTCTGCTACTGCTGACAGTTGTATTTGGGAGTATTTAATATTTCTTTGGTGTTCTTTTAGTCTCGTGCTGATCATTCGTCCGGTTTGCCCAACATATTATTATTTGATGATAAAAATAATAAGAATAGGGTTTTTCCCCTTTTTTCTGGCAACAAAACTGAAACCTTTTTACAAGGATTCATGTCTGCATTAACCACAATACCTGCAGTCAAAATGCAAACAAAAAACATACTATGATAATATATGCATTGTCCTTGAAACTGATTGGTCCACACCAAGGGACGGCTTTCTTTTGAGCCTCGACCCAATTGGTGCTCGACCAGAAGACGCCAAAAGGCGTACAGCTCAAAGACAATGCACTATCAAAGTAATGAGGGCTCGGGGTGAGCATCTACATCATTAGACCTCCTTTGCCAGTACCAAATTATAAGAATCCTTGTAAAAAGGTTTCAGTTTTGTTGCCAGAAAAAAGGGGAAAAACCCTATTCTTATATTTTGGTACTGGCAGAGGAGGTCTAATGATGATACGAAACAATGTTAACCGTTCGTATAGCTAGACTTAGTGCTGCTTGGAAGCGAATAATCGAATAATACATTGTTTAAATGCATGCCTATACAGGCTACCGTACACTGCAATAGGGATTACCGTTGGTACGGCTATTTTAGAACACACAATGCACAGGAAGTACGAGATCAATGGGCTCACATAATGTGCATGCATTATGTACGTTGATTCATTAATCCCCCCCCCCACCCACTTAGCGCAAGAAACACGCACAAGTGTTATCAACACATCTACGCCTCGATATAAGGAACGAAACAGATGGACTTCTCAACAAATCTGGCTGTCTCCTGATGAAGCTAGTTGTAATTAGTGGCGAAACGTCGTACTCAGATTGTAAATGGTGTGGCTTGGCTCTCCAACACACCGGTGTGCTGTACTAGTGACGAATTGGCATATTCTGTTTACGTGACAACCCTTACTAGTTGTCTGTGTCGGGTGGTGGCGGGTTTAACGACACATATATACGCGACCTAACCCCAAAAAAACTGTATTATGGACCATTGGACTCGTTTCGTGTGATTTAAAATTATCACCGCGGGGTGGCAGTAGATGCTCACTCTCCGTTCAATTTCTGTATTCCTGCAACAGGGGTCCTCTCCTGGAACAGAGATTAAGACATTGGTTTGGTGCCTGTTTAGCATTAAAGTGGGAACGTTACATTGGCGGGGACGAGTATCTCGCTCCTTGCATTGGAAAGTAAAATAATGGGGTCCGAGTTTGTTTTATTCATAGTACTCGACTATATTAACAACAATAATGTATCGCCTTTTGTCAATCCACTGCTGGATGATGGTCTTCCACCCACGCCGTGTCGTTCTTGGGGGCCTGTTTGACCATACTTCACCACGTTGGTCAATGAGAGGTTGATAAAGGTTGGGGGAAGGCCCAAGGACTGTTTCAGATATCACTCGCCACTGATATTAGCCGTGAACAGGAATCAAACTCGGGTTACGCTGTTCATACTAGAGTGCTATAATGTATGTTTAACTTATTTTGCACCGTACGTAGCCAACCGTTCTAATCACTACACCACCGCTCCACCACACAGTACCGATTACATTGTTTTTATTTATTTCGCACTCTTGCAAATAACCTTGATTTCTATTCAAATGCAGATGTACGTGTGCATGGGAATGTGTGGTCTTTGGCTGCGGGCTGTATCAGTTACGACAGGTACAAAGTATTGTAGTATAGATGCGTCCGAGATGATTGCAAGATGGAGCGGTAGCAGCCACAGACTGGAACGCGAGTAAGAGGGTTGTTTACCGAGGAGACGGAGCGATGAAATCAGCCTGTGTACAGGTGCTACGCGCATTATTACATCGGCTTGCAGAGGGAGGCCTTCATCCAGCATTGGGTCGACCATGGCTGATGATGTTAACAAAAAACACTGCTTGTTTACAGCACCAA